AACAGACTGGACAGGAGATCCAGGGCACGGTGCCTGCAGTAGCCCTCGCAACCAGGGTCCCCTTCATCACCCACAGTCCCTCTGCTGTCATGCTGGCCTTGCTCATCAGTGCAAAATGTTACGAGGTCCCAGAAATCCCACTGGGAGGAATTTATTCCATGGATACTCTCATATAGATGTGGAAAGATGTAACTAAGGGTGCTTATTCTCCTGATTCCCACCCCTCAGTGGGGTATGCATTATCAAATGGCTGTAATTTTTCAACAAATGTCACCATAAATGCTTTGACAAGCTTCTCCTTCTTGCTGGGGACAGACACATTTAAAGACACATCTGATTCCATTACTTTTCCATTTGTTTTTTGTTTTTGCTTTTTTTTTTTCTTTTTTTTTTTAAATTAAAAGCTTTTTAAAATTTGTTCTTTTTTAGTTATACATGACAGTAGAGTGTATTTTTCATGTCGTACATACATGGAGTATAACTTCCCATTCTTGTGGTTGTACATGATGTGGAGTTTCACTGGTTGTGTATTCACATAGTTTCACTGGTTGTGTGTATGAACATAGGAAAGTTAGGCCTGATTCATTCTACTGTCTTTCCCATTCCTATCCCTGTGCCTACTTATTTAAAAACCTGGATCTCATAGTCATTCCAATGCTTCAGGTGCCTGCAGTGGGGGATGGGTTTGTGCGAGGGCTAGGAGTGGAATGGAGAAGGACAGGCTGTCCTGCCCGTGCCCCTGACTGCCCTTAAAGACAAGGAACTCACAATTGCCCATGTGAGGAGTTTGTCCCCTTCTGTTGGTAATTGACTCTGACGTCCACGTGGCTGTGGGGGTGCCCACAGGTCCTGCTGATGAAAGGATCATTCCCAAGCAGCACCCACACCCCATAGGTGTTGGTGACTCTTCCCAGACTTGGTTTCATTTTGGGGCTGACCATGGCAGCAGCTGCCCAAGCAAATGAACAGCCTCCAATCTCATTTACCTTTCAAAGGCCCCAACTCAGGCCTGTAGGCAAGACCAGAATCCATTTTTTTTTTTTTTTGGAGATAGGGTCTCATACATTCCATCCCTGGGAAGGCGTGTAGAGCTGGTATGTAGACCCTCCAGAAGGTCATGCAGGAGACCACCTCCTCTGGTCACCCCTGGGCAATGGAAATGGAGGGTACAAAGGCTAGAGAAGAGACCTGGTATTTTTCATTTGCTCCCCTTCAGTGTTTGTAGTTTGAGTTTGTGCCTTGGGCATGTATTGCTTGTGCACAATTATTTACCTTTTAAAAAGCCATAGTCACAGCCAAGGTGTGCTTCTGAGCACCTGGCTCCTCTAAACCACCCGAGTCAGGCTCTTCACTTCCCCTCATCCATTCTCTTTATATCGTGGGTGATTTTCTGCCTTATTCCTGGGGCAGCAAGCCAGGTGTCCATTTCTCCAGTGCGTCCTCGGTGTGGGCAGCAGGCCTGCTGCAGAGGAGGCAGCTCCTTCCACACAGAGTTCCAAAGACAGACACCCCAATGCAGCGGGATGGTACTTTCCAGCTTCTGGGCTCCTAACTCCCAAAATCTCTGACATCTATGGTAAATTGTGGCTCTGTTTCTGTTTGGGTTTCCTGCAGATCACAAAGGCATCGCGGAAGAGGCTCACCATGAGCCTGGCGTACTCGGAGAGCCACCAGATCCGAGTGTCGCAGCAGGACTTCCGGCTCTTCCGCACCCTCTTCCTGCTCATGGTGTCCTTCTTCATCATGTGGAGCCCCATCATCATCACCATCCTCCTCATCTTGATCCAGAACTTCCAGCAAGACCTGGTCATCTGGCCGTCCCTCTTCTTCTGGGTGGTGGCCTTCACATTTGCCAATTCTGCCCTGAACCCCATTCTCTACAACATGTCACTGTTTAGGAATGAGTGGCGGAAATTTTTTTGCTGCTTCTCCCTCCCAGAAAAAGGAGCCATTTTTACAGACACATCTGTCAGAAGAAATGATTTGTCTGTTATTTCCAGCTAATTCGTTTTTTCTCGACACATGAAGTCTCTCCCTGTGGTGAGCCACGGTGTGCTTTGATCATCCACCAGTGCACCCTGCTTTACGGAAACAACCTATGCAAACATACATCTGCAGCAGCAGCAAATTAGGGGACGATCATTCCATGTAAACATACTTTTCCTTTATAAGAGGACTCACGATGGGTTCCTTTGAAATAATGAACTTTTTCAGTGTGTTTGTAATATGATGGAAATTAATAAATTTTTATTTATACCTGTTCAGCAATTACATCTCCTGCATATAAGGTCACACCTCATGGTTTCTAAAGTGAGTCTTGGAACTGACTGAAGACTCAGATTCTCCTTTAAAGGGTCAGGGCCACTCTGGATACTCAACTTGGGCTCCTTAGGAAAGGCCTCAGGGTCTTTCATTCATATCAACCCTGAATTTGGTGTTTGGTATTTGATATTGAGGAATTTCCAAGGAATAATTAAAGGTGATTATTATTTTTCATGTATTAAAAATGCTATGGGCCCCTTGAGGAGAAGCAGTGTCATGGAATCAGAGAGAAGATGGGTGGGCTTCAGAAGGGCACTGAGATCTGGAGTGAGTCCCCTCATTGATCCACCCATCGGAGGCCTCTTAAGCACTACTATGGCTGGACAGTGCTCTTGAGCTGGGAATTCAGTGATGAACCAGATGGCCCTGGCCTCTGCTCTCAGAGAGCTTCTTCCATTCCGGAGGTCAAATGCTAAACAGAAGTGAATAAATATAGTATCCCAGAGTGAATAGCACCCCGGGAAGACAGGACAGGGTGCTGTGGGAGTGACGGCCACTTAGATGTGGTGGGGAAAGGT